TTTTTTTTTTTTTAACTTGAACTTTAATCCTGCCATTATTCCAATAATGATTAAGCTCTGTCCTGAAAAACCAATATTTTTCCCCTCAGAAACATATTTTCCTCCTCCAACTAAAGATATCATAAACTAATGCTATCTTAAATGGTTCATTTAAAGTAATTTCCTTTCAACCTCTCCATGTTTAACATTTCAAACTTATCATTTTAAATCCTTATTGACCAAACTCTGTATAACAATACTTTCAAATATTTTACTATTTAGTCTCCATAAAAGTCAATCAAAGCCAATGAAGATGGCCCAGAGGAGTACTATGCTAGGATGGATCATTTTTATTGATCTCTCTTGCCTTAAAAGCACTGTTTGCCTGCAAATTTGCATTACTATGTACAGTTACTACCTTCAAGCTGAATGCACAAGGTGACAACAAACTTAATATATAGAACAGTTTCTCTATGAACTTATCACTTCCTACAATTAGAATGTCCCAAATGAGGTGTCAACTGAATGTATCAAGTGGAACATATGCCACAACCCCTAGTTTCAACCACGTGTATCCAATCTGATAATATGTAACTTTGATTATAAGAAACGATGGAAAGAAACATATTGATGAGTAGTCAAACAAACCAATATGTTCTCTTGATTATGTCACGTTTTAAGGATTTGTTTAACCACTGTATAACAAGCATTAAGCGTAGTTATCCTCAAACGTAACCGAGAAATCTCCTCGAATTACTAAGATTCAACTAACACCCCTATCACTAGGAAAGTTTTTAAAAACTGCAGTCTACACAGGATTTATTTTCTCAATTTGAAATAATATCTTCTCAAAAATTAATATACACACTAAAAATGAAAATTGCCCAACTAAACCTTAGTCTTAATTGAACAAACACTATTTACAGGAAAATTCATACTGAAGTACAACAAACCTTTCTTCTTATGATAATATTACAAGCACCCATCACAGAGCCCCTTGTTAAAAAAATACACAGAAAAAGGATTTTCAGAGTTCAACATTGACAAATAGTTTAGATCCAGTTTGTAAATATTTAATTACCGTTAGAATAGTATAAAGTCTTAGCTTTAGTTTGTGGTCATACAGTTTACCTCAAAGAATATTTTTCTAGCAAAGAAATGCATCAACAACCTTGAATCTGGCGGAGAAAATAAACATTATGGCAGACTTCAATTTTGAAATAGGTGCCATTATAGCAGACTATAGCAGAGCACATGAAGAAGGCATAGTATGATAAAATGATATTTATGTTTACACAGCAGTTTCAGCAAAGACAAAAAACACATATTGAGCCCAAATAAGAAATATATAGACTGGGACCAACCAGTGTCTTTATTTGCTTGCTGACGGGCAACAGCTTGAGCGTCCTTCACACTACCAACAATCTCCAGCTCTACATTTTCTCCAAAGGCTTCTTTTTGGGCCATTAGCTGTGAATAAATAACATAGAGTGGCGGAGGAAGCAACTCTGCATATTGCAACTGCTTCAACTTTTTTGTGTGCAGAACTCCAAGTTGGTGCTGCACCGGCAAGGATGCTTTCTTGAGTGATTTTAGGTGTGACGGGAGACTTGACAAGAACTTCTTTCTGTTTGCAATGGTCTCCTGTAGAGCCTTTTTTTTCTGTTCCAGTTTCTCACGAAGCTTGCATAATTCTTTGCGCTGACACAGCAAATATGTAAACTCAAAACAAAGCAACAGCCAGACTTATCACACATGCGCGTGCGTACACACGCTACTCCTCCGATGATCATATAAGAGATGGGAATTATTCTACAAACATATACAGCTGATACATATGATCTAATACAAATTCTAAATAAAGGAGAAGCATAGAATTTGACCTCAACATTAGCAAATACTAAATGACCCCAAGATCTTTTTTCGCTCATGAAATAACATGTTACAACATCTACAAATAAAATGCATTAGAAGAAGATTATAAGTGCAATATATGCAGAATCCACGGTTGGAAGTACCACTAAAGGGAAGCCAAGGTGGGTATATTTTCAGTCTCTCGATTCTATTGACCATAAGAACCTCCATATGACGTCACTATTATCCAAATAAAAGAGAAGCATAGAATTTGATCTCAACATTAACCAATACTAAAATACACCAAGATTTTTTCCAGCTCTTGCAATAACATGTTACAACCTCAACAAATAAAATATTTATAACATTTTCCAAAAAAAAAAAAAATCTACAAATAAAATATATTAGAAAAAGATTATATAAGTGCAATATGTGCAGAATCCATGGTTGAAAGTACCATTAAAAGGAAGCCAAGCTGCGTATAATTTCAGTCTTTCAGAGTTTTATCTTTATTGATTGTCACAACCTTCATATGATTCCTTCTCCACTAAACCACTTCTGAAACCAATTTAGTAGTTTTAATATAGATAATAGTCCATTAAGACATGAGTTTTAGAAGCAAGATAACAATTTTAATTCACCAAGAAACATGAAATACCAAGCCTAATAACTCCCATTAGCACAAGATACTGAGATATTAACGCTAGTAGAACGATTACTAATTTGGAAATAGAAAGGAGTGCTTGCCAATTGAATTAAGCTAGTTACCTGGAATAGCTCATAATTGAGCCGCTTTAGCATCAAATTGTGTGAGCTGTCCTTTGACATAACAGAGCTTTTTATCTCCTCAGGTGCATCTTTAAAGAATTCTTCCTCGGGAACAAGTTCAATATCAGGATATTTTGACCTGAAATCTTTGCAAGCCTTTATAGCTTTCACATAATGACTTTTTTCATACATCAAGTTGTGAAGCTGCAGCGTGGTGAAGTCGACGGGAGCTTTTGCACGTTCCGTTTCCCCTTTCACACGATCCTCATCGAGCAAGATTGATCTATTTGCCTATGGGAAGATGTTTAAGGTAGTTAATACACAAGCATTAGGGAAAAACAAAAGAACAAGTGGAGATTGAACGAAAAGAAATTAACCTGACGGAGGGAGACGAAGTTGATTAAAATCTGAGTGACGAGTTCGCGAAGTTCAGATTTCGGTGTGCTTTCTTTTTTAATGGACAGCATTTTTGAAACGATTTCCTCGACTGAAGCTTTGCTTTGCTGCAGAACTTCGTATGGAGACTTTTCCGGCTTGTGCTCCGGTAGTATTTCGCCGGGTTCTCCCATGGTTATCTCCATTTTCACCCCTGCTCTGTCGCTGCCTCTCTTCCGATTAAGTCATACGCTATGCTTCTGGATGTGTACGCTACTAGGGTTTGTTTGTTCCGTCTGCTTGACTTGAGTGCCAGTCTTTCGGGTTCAGCACTCTTCTATTTTTGCTTTATTTTTCTCATTTTCTTTTAAGCATTTATTTCCAGAATTTAAAAAGAAAAAGACCTTCTGGAAAAAAGATAATTTATTTTTTGTACTAGAAAATATTATTATATCTTTATTTAAAGAAGATTAATTTGTGCATTTCCCTAGATTGCTTTTTATGTCATAGATCAATTTTGAAAAAGATTCACTGAAAAATTTATACCTAGGGGAAAAGGCAAAATAAAAGAAAACCTACTTTTAGAAAAGAAAAAAATAGAAAATCATTATCACAGATTTCCTTTATTTCTTCCATCACAAAAATATTTAAAAACTTCTTTACTCTGAAGGAAAAAAAAAATAGCTAAATTTTACAACTGTTACTATCACTGTGACTAGTTCTGGCATGTAGGAAACATTAATCGATGCTCTTATTTTAACATAATTTCTCATTCTTTCTATATATTTGCTGGTATATCAATTAGCAAGTTAAATTGTTTATTGTTTAATAAATTTCCCACGGTTTGAAATTAATTTATATAAGTTATTTATTATATCAATTATCTATTATTTTATAAATGGCCTTCAAAATTTTGTTGTAACCTAGTTAAATATATGAATTACTTATTAATTGATTTTGAACGGCTGATCATCCAAAATTAGTTAAAATTTACACGGTTATAAAATTTTTAAAACTTATGGTCTTAAGCATATCATATACATTTGTGTGACTTTAAAAATTTCTCATTAAAATAAAATAAAAAATTTAAAATTAATTTATTATTAATATAATAATGTGGCCTTTTTAAACAGACCAATAAAAAATAATGTCACATAATTGGAACAATGGAGTACTATTTAGGGGGAGGGGAAAACTTAGGTGTCGTTTGGTATGAGGTATTAGAAGGTATAAGGGTGGTATAAAAATTTAATACCACCTTAATACTCTGTTTGGTTAGCAAACCAGGTATAAGTTATTCCGGTGTTAATTTTAACACTGGGATAACTTATACCTTATAGAAGGTGGGGTAATTAGCACCGGTATAACTTATACATTCTTCTTATAAATTATGCAATTGTCATTCTTAATACAACATACCAAACAATGAATAAACAACAATCCCAGCATAACTAATCCCAATATAACTTAGAGGGTGTTTGGATGGGCTCAAACCAGCTTTTAAGCACTTTTTTAGTTTTTGGAGTGTTTGGCAACAAAAAAGCTGCTTAAAAAAAGCTAAAAAGTGCTTAAAAAAAGCCAAAAGCAACAAGTTGGCTGACTCCAACTTTTTTGATTTTGGCTTAAAAGCCATTTTAGTTTGACCAATAAAATTACTCTCTTGCCCTTATAAGTTTTTATAATACCAAAATTACCCTCTTCTTTCCTCTTCCTCTTCAGTTTTCTGTACTTTTCTTCAAGCAATTGCCCTTATATTTTTGTCTTTTTAATAAGAAAAAGTGCTTACCACCACTTGTTTGCCAAACACTTCAACAGCTTTTTTTAAGCTTCAGCACTTTTATCCAAACATGTAACTGCTTATTTATAAAATAAGCTCCGGCACGTGCTTAAAAGCCACTTTTTTTAAGCCAATCCAAACGGGCTCTTATACCGGCCTAACTTATACCGGTATAAATCGTATTCCAACCAAACCACCCCAATATAAATTATGGTATAATTTTACTATTGAAAGCAAGACAAAAAGAAGAGCAAAAGGCGATTCTTTTTCCCCCCAAACTAGAATCACATTTGTCACAAGAATACCTCAAAAGTCAAAGATGATTCTTTAGTGACGATCTGAAGGCACACCTTTACAACAACATTCTGAGAGATCACACGTTTAGCATTAAGGCTAAAATAAAAGGATGTCCAACCAAACTCACAATTAAGCACACATCAATTAAGAGAGAGTAAACGCATAATTGTTTATGGCTTACTAACATGCAACAGAAACTTCCTGCTTTATACATATGGGTTTCAACACTGATGCCTGCTATATGGTGTTCACTCTTCATTAGTGACCAGGACCCAGAAGAGATAGAAGAAAGGTCCGATAATCACCAGAAGTCTCCGAATGAACTGCATCATTCAGAGATTTCTTATGCTTTTTCTGGTACTCTGCTTTTATATACTGCATATCGATCTCAGTTCGTGTGACTACTATCCGAATGAGAGTCGTATCATTCGTCCCCAAGCCCTTCATTGCCTTGTGCAACTCCTGCATCCATCAAACATATGTAAGGCGCAGATAAACAGCAGAAGAGAATGGTTAAGTAGTTGCATCATGTTTAGCTAAAAAACTCAGAAAAGGAGAGGGATATTTGTAAGTTAATATCCCTGTTCTCCTGTTTTCATGAGGTAAGCTTACAGAAGTCAGAAGATACAAAATCTTTTGCTTCAAGTCCGAGTAAAGGAAGGTAAAGAAAAATAACAGAAGTAAACGACATCCACAATTCCAAGTATTAAAAAAAATAATGAAAAGGGAGCAATATCATTTGAGGAAAAAGAAAGAGCTAACCAGAAGCACGAGTTCATAAATTTCCATGTTATAGGCAGAATGGTAATCGTGTTCATAACTTGACAAGACTTTTTGAAACTGGTAAATTGATAAGAATTTAAATAAATGTAACCTGTACCTTCGCAAAGTATTTTGCTGGATTCTCAGCACACTGCAAAATAGTCAAGAGTGCAAACTCAAATTGTCCAGAGGTTTCGTTTTTTACAGCCTGTAGCAGTTGCGGTCCATTGGTCAGCAAAAATTGGAAATCTGAATAGGTTTTTGAAATAAGTCAGCTTACCTTTTTCAATTCCCTGCCATACATGCTGTGATAAGCAGCACTAACAGCAGCCAAGTGTGCCCTGCTTCGTTCAGAGAAAATTCGTATAAAAGTCTTCTCATCAGTTCCCAATTTCTTCTCCCCAGCTTTGAAAAGAGCTTTAGCATCATAATCCACAGTAGCTCTGTCAACTTCTGGGCCTTCATAGCGCATTGTGCTTACAAATGCTAGAAGCAACTGTAGTGATTAAGAGAAAATAATACATCAATATCTTCTTTCATAAGAAGCAATAAATGCAATTACTTGTTTAAATTTTAAACATAATAGAAGGTAGACTCCAATTTGCATCAGGAAAGTAAGACTCCACAAGAATAACTAATGAATTGGAATAGATACAATACTAGGATAAGGTCATGACCAGATAATGCACCTCAATTCCGATCAATAAAGACAAAGGTGCGCAGTGCCCAGCCAAAAATGGTAAATGACATAAATACAAGAGTTATTTCACAGCTCCTCATTTTCCCCTCATCTTTCCCAAAGACTATAACTGCATAAAATCAAAGTTCAACAATCTACTACTACTCATTTACTTCAAAGTTGTTTCTAGGCATGGTTATCCTCTTTTAGGTAATCCAAATAGCTTTATGATCATCATTTAACAGGGAAAACGTAGAGAGCGACTACCTTTTTGTGATCACCAGATGCGTGAAGTTCAATATCATGCTCAAGGTAGATACCATTCATGGAATGATAAAGTTGTTTGAAATGTAGTATTTGAGAAGGAGTCCGTGAACATATCACTTCTGTGGCAGCTCTGAGATCAATAGTGTCACCACTCAAAGCCCGCCTCACTAGGATAGCATCCCTTCCAGCTGGATCATGCATCCAAAGCAAGACTGCTTTCTGGAACCATTCAAAATGATAAAGGAGATGAAGAAACAGAAGCTTGAAAGAGAAAAGGATAAAGGAGGAATCACAAATTTTGCCAAATGCTGTTTCATTTATCTTTGATGTTCCTGCTGCCCTAACATTTTGAATCTTTTCTTTGAATGCAATAAGTTTCAGGCCTCTACAAATTATTGCTTAATAACAATAGTTGCAAGTTATAGAGTTATCAAAGCTATCCCAGAATTTCTACCCGCCATCAATACCTCAAGATTACCGCTAAGCTCTTTGGCCAAGCGTTTGGTTAGCTCTTCAGAATACATAGCTCTGTATTCTTGTTGAATGAGAGCACGCTGAGTTGCATCACGATGGGCAAGGATGTTAATGACTGCTTTTTTATCACATCCAAATCCTGCATTACACAAGCCAAGTAATTCACTCAAAGGCAAGCAGAATAGCAATACACGATAACTTAATGAATGGTACCTCTTTTTAAGTCACCTTCTTGATATTAAAGTACTATATGCACTCATAAGAAATTACTCAATCCTGGAAACTAAGCCAAAATTGGATGATAACATTTATCTGTTCCTGATAGCACACTGCAATTTCAAAACTAGGATGTGCTAAATTTCGAAAATTCTCTCAACCATGCATTTCCTCTTTGTTTAACTAGGGTTACTTCTATAATTCTAGAAAGCATTTAGGAAAATCTACACAGATAATAATACCTGAATCACACCTAATAGTAGTATCATCAAAATAACAACTATCTTTCTCTCTTCTTAAACAATTTTAGCTTTTTTTTTTAAATGTTAAAAGCAAGCTAATAGCCAGCTGGCTCTTCTGATTTTTCTTTTTTGTCATGATTGAAGCTTAATTCATGAGAGCAGTAACTCATCCTCAACAAAAATTCAATAATTTAGAAAGAAAAAGACATGGAAGCCACAAAGAACGATGAATTAAAGTACAGAAGACAAATCAAACGAAAGAGAACACTCCAAACCCTATACAAAGAAGAAGGAGAAATGATCTAAAGTTAAAGGAGGGGAACACATGAATTATTGGTGAGGAATAATTATACCCTTGAAAGCTTTGTAAAGGTGCATGGCGTCATCGCGAGGCGAAGATAAAACTGGAGGAACAATCAGGGTAGCCATTTCTCTCTTCTCTGCTTTCTTTTCCCCTTTCTTTCTCTCCCTGTTGAATAAAATAAAATAAAACACACGCCCTTGTCAGTTGGTCAACAACTAGTCTAATACAAGTCTACCACAAGCCTTTTCGTACAAGTACAACACGTCTTTGAATTGAGGTAATCCCACAAACTCTACTTATATATCTTGTTTCATATTGTATTGTATTATTTGATAAATATATAATATTTTGATAAATTATATCACCCACCAACAATATAAAAAATAAACTTATAATATTACTAACAAAAATAGGATATTGAATATAATTATTATATAAAAAAATAAAATAACGGATAAAATATGATTATTTAATAGAAGGGCAATATGAGAGAAGAAAGCAAGGAACGACGTCAGCACACTAAATCCATCGTTCCATAATGTGGTCCTTTTTAATCATTACGCGATGATGGATTTAATGATATGATACAATAAAATTTAAGTAACAATAAAAAAATATTATATTTAAAGTAATAATACGATACAATACGAGTGATAACAATCATCCAAACAAGTTGTAAGGCTCCTTTTTACTTGCAAATAAGTAATAGCAGGATGATAATCTGAGATTACAATATAGAATTAAATAAAAATGAGATTATAACTACTGAACCCGAAATTAAAATTTCAGCCAAACCTAAGTAAATAATTTTATATTTTTATTATGAAATTCTTATCCCTTATTCGTATAACCAAACACCTTAAGGTGTTCACGGTTCGATTCATTAAAATCAAAAGTAAATAAATTAGATTCTTTCTATTGTTTGTTTGATTTTTTGATTTTATCGATTTTTTAATTAATAAAAACTTAATGAAGTACAAATTCAATTCATTCAATTTATTAGAGCTATTAAGCTGTTCCATAGGTCAATATATATATTTAACAAAAATTGAACTAACAAACGCTTTTATGAGCAATTGAAGTACTCTTATGTGAGAAATGTCCTCTGTGATAAATCATATTTATTCTTTTTCATTAATCTAAACAAGCTTAAATTAAAAAGAGAAATCAAAAGACTCCTAAGAAACTTCAGTTTAGAGGTAAACTCAATACGGAAGTAATAGCCTGTTTGGTCAAGCTTCTAAAATGAGCTTATTTTGAGAAGTACTTTTCTCAAAAATACTTTTCAAAAAAATACTTTTGGTGATTGTTTACCTGTAAAACAGTACAATTAAATTTATACGTGGTTTCTAGACAAGTGAATCAATTTGATCCTGAAGTAATGAAATAATTAAAGAAATATGCAATACTTAGCCTTGAAATGAAGATAAAATCATGAAAAACAGTAATTCCGGGGGCATAGCTTTCAGGCACAACAGTGATGAAACTACAGAACAAGAAAGTAAATTGTATAAAGTTTTTAATCAGTTATAGCGTAAGTTTGCCAGAAAAGTCGTGTCCTTACAATGGTAATAGAGCTCACTCTTTATAGTTAGACCTAGGGAATAAGGACCTAGGATCAAGCCCCTCTTCAATGCAAATTATGAGGACCATTGAAGAGTGTGTAACGACAGTCATAAATACCATATCCTTTTGTAAGGGAAGTGCACTAAATGCTATGAAATATTCTCCATTAAATGCTACCGGACGGAGGGTATTTATTGCCTCTTTATGAGTGTCATTCCTTCCGGTAACAAACGAGACAATTGCCTTCGGTTCTGACTGTCCCTTGCTTTAAGTTCCACGTGTCACTATCTTAAGCGGCCATTTAGCATAGCGTATTTTACCGTATACGGATAGTCCCCCTGCTTTCCGGTGGCATAATATTGTATCACCGGGAAGTTGGTAGAAATACTCTTTTTGGCGGGAACTACTATGATTCCTTCTGAAAACCTTCTGATGGTTAATTAGATGCATGTCTCTCCGCATTTAATGCCCCAAACACGCGTCATCCCACAATGCAGCATAGTTTTTGCCGGTTATCGAGGTAATCATAGTCACGAATTTAGCCGCCTAAACCTTTACTTATACGCATCAATCTTCTTAACTCATACTCCATAACTCTCTAAACTTCCTAGAACCTTCTTTATTGTTCTTCAACCTTTATTTAACTTCCTTCAAACGAAAAAGTTTTTCCTTCATCCATAACATATAATGGCTTCTTCTTCAAAGAACACCAGCTCTTCAAAGAGAAAGAGCAAAGCAGAGGACGATGCTCCTCTAACAGTAGGTTCCATCATCCCTAGAAGTCTTGTTGCAACAAAAGACATCGAAGAGAAATTTCCTTCGGCTAACCCTCGCACGTGGGCCGCTAGCATATACCCTTCTTCCATCCGTCCTTCCAGTATTCTGCTGTGAAGGAAGATTGCCGCTACCAAGATTTGGACAATATTGATCCTAATTTAACAGAGCGAGTAACCCTACCCAATGAGGGTTTTACATACATTTACGCGTATCCCTTTACTTTGGAAGCATTTTTTTTAGCGGAGAGCTTGACTCCGTTATTGCGGAGTTCTGCCTCCGCTACCAGGTGTGTTTGGAACAAGTAAGTCCTTCTGTGTGGAGGACGATTGTTTGTCTTCGGCAATTGTGCCAAGAGACGGGAGAGGAGTTATCTTTAGCTCATGTGATGAATCTATATTCCCCCAAAGTCTTCTGCGGGGGAATGATAAACTTTAGCAAACACGGCCACCATGCTCTATTATCTAGCATGGATGATGACAACGATCGTGGGTAGATGGAACGGTTCATTACAGTTTCCACCAATGATATCATTCCAGCAACGGCTTCGCCCTTTCTGGAATCATGGAACCGTCTTGTTTAATATTTCTTTCATTAGAAATTTTTCATATCCGTATTGATCCTCCGTCCTTCGCTTGTTTCAGCAATTCGGCGGTTTCCACCTAGGGTTGAAGTCTTGGACCAGTGGATTTAGAAAATCTTGGACGTCACTACGCCCGAAACCCGCACGCGGAAATAAGTGGCCCTCAAATACGGGTAGAAGGCCAAAAATCATGGTAACTTAGACAAATCTCGTTTCTGCTTTTTACGTGAGGAAATTGATTGATCCCTTCTCCCTCTTTTCTGAAATCAAGTCTACTCGCGGGATCGGTTGTCGTCCCCGAGGAGGACATTTTGGCTGATCCTGCGGATCGGCGAGGCTGCTTCAGGAGGCACTTACTCGAACAGGTGTCTCCGGGCCTACTTCGGGTACAAGTGTTTCGTCACGGAGTCCCCGCCCGGAGAACAAGCAACCAAATAAAAAGTGTTCCTCCGTGTTCGGGGGAAAGAATAAGAGGGTAAAGAACACCACCCCCTAGTCATCTTCGAAAGTCGTGGTGATGAGCCCTCCGCCTGGGATGGTTATAGACACCGTGATGATCGACGATGATGGAGAAGCTAGTGATGAGGGAGCTTCTCTTCATAGAAGACGATGATCCTTATCATCTAAACAGGATGCTCAACCTGTTGAGTTAGTTATACCAACCGTAGACGATGTCTCGGCGTTTTAGGGGGAGTTTGAAATGGTGGAAAATGCCAACTCTCGTTACCCGATCCCAGTCGTTGCACCCGGTATCATGAGGCTGAGTACCGGGCCCTTGCCGTCTTCGGTTGATAAGCAACCAACAACTAGCATTGCGTTCGCCGCAACTGCTTCTCATCCTTCAACGCCATCAGCTTCATAACCTTCTTCACCAACTCTTCCGCCAACAACTGCTACATCAACTCCACCGGCCACGTCCTCTCGAGAAGAAGATGCTCCTCCTCCCCAGATGTGTTGAAGAGGCTAAGGCCAAATGGGTTGAAGTTCATAATGCCTTTTTTGTTGCATCCGATCGTGAGGCTGCCTCCGCTGAAAGATTGATCAATTTAGAGGCGGCCTTGAGTTCCAAGACTGAAGAGCTTGCTGCTGCGGGGATGAAACATGCCCAATTGGAGTAGAAGTATAAGAAGACCATTGAGCATAATAGACTTTTTAGCTCTATTGTCCGCGAACTTGACGTTAGCCTCAAGTCCATTAGATCCGCCCGGGAAAACCTTTTTGCCGAAGTTAACCAACTTAAAGAAGAACTCAAGCACCAAACGACTTCTCTCATTGTTGAGAAAACTTATGTTATGTACAGTATGAGAAGAAAAACCTTGGAAGAGGCCAAAGCGGGTATCATTGATTTTGATGCAAAATTGCTAAGGCCCTTGAGCTGGAGTTAGCTGCAAAAAAAGGTCTTCCAGCCAGGCCTGATGCTACTGATTCTTCTAGTTCCGGTTCTGAGTTCTCGGGAACTGAAGAGGAACCGGAAGGTGATGATGCTGAGGGCCAAAATGATGAAGTCCAAAATGTAGAGCCATCAACAGATTTAGCCATTTCCCATAGGGGCGCGGACACTTCTGTTCCTCCGGGTTCCAGAGATGCAGCGGTTTAGCTTTTCTTTTTCTTCAACTTGTGTATCCATGCCACTTTGGCATGTTATTGTAAACAAAGACATCTTTTTTCTCAAGCATTTTTTGAGTATTTCTTTCGTTTGAACGTTTATGCAAGTTTTGCACTCCCTTTATTCTTTTGCCTAAGTGTTTTGCGCAAGTTTTACTGTTTGCGTCTGATTATGTAAGGCCTTGGGTGTATTTTCCCCCAAAAGCATCTTTATTTCGGGCACAAACTCGTCCGAAATCAACCCTTTTTGCATCTTTTTGTGCAAGGCTTCGGGTGTATTTTTCCTTGAAGGCATTCTTATCACGGGCATAAGTTCTTCCAAAATCAACCCTTTAACGTGGGGGTTTTCATAAGAGAGGGCCTTCTTATGTTTATGGTGCTCTTGAAGAGGACGTCTCATGTTCATTACGACACTATAATTTGAAGTACTTGTTTAACTTTCAAATGACAAAGTCAATTCATCATTCAGACAGGTAACAAGATAGAAATAAAAGGACTTCACTTTATTCCTTCCATTTTCAAAAAGTACATAAGCATCTGTTATGCTAAAAAGAAATTGTCATTACTTGTGGCTAACTTGTACAACTTGTTTCTACGGGATTGGCCCCGCAGTCCCCGGTCCCGATGATACAGCTATGTTTCTGATTTTTGTTTCCCGGTCGACGTGGCAGTCATTGTTG